CAGATGTTCAGCTGCAGAATGTCCACCTTTCATTTTTTGTGGTTCTGCAGTATTATACAGGATTTCTTTTGAGTGTCAAGCTTGTTGTTTTGTAATGTTTTGTATGTTTTGGGATGTTTGGGGTTGGGTTATTGCTTCATGCTTCTGTCAAAGGATTCGCAAGAATCAACTTGCTTTGGATTCGTGGGACAGCCGATTGGATGATGCAAGTCAGTCCATGCCAGGCGAACTCTTTGATGAGGTTGGAGAGAAATACTTGCTACATGGCACAAGTCCAGAGCGTTTGTTGGACATCCTTCACCAGGGCTTCACAGAAAAGCTATCAAGCTTGAAAGGGATTTTCGGTGCCGGAAACTACTTGGCAGAGGACCCTGAAAAAATCGATCAATATACCAGGCCTGACCCAGGGCTTGGGACCCCTGGGTTGGAGGAGCTTCACTCACGGCTTTACCGGGCAGGTGGGAACCACCACCCTGATGATGACAACATTTTCTACTGCTTCCTGGTGCGTGCTACTTGTGGTGCTTGCCTCCAGACAACTGGCCTTGACAAAAAACGTCTCCAGGATGAAATCACAGGGAAGGAGGTCTTTTTGACCGCAGACCGCCGCGAATTGGCTCGCGTTCCAGGCACGTCCCCTTCTTTCTCATACCACTCTCTCCTTGTCAACCTGTGTACTGGCAAAACCTATGGAGCAGCAGTGGCCCGCTTTCGCGAGATTGTGATCTTCGAAGGAAATCGCATCTATCCAGAATATTTGGTGGCATATCGACGGGTTTGATGGCAGTTAAAGAGTTAAGGGTCCGTTAAAGGCGGTTTCCTTTCTGAGAATGTTGCCTGGCTTCGCCCGGCCCACTTCTTTGACGCCCTGCCGCTTTCACCTGAGGTGAGAGGTCGCTGTGCAAAAGACTCGTGACAGACATGCCTGGGGGGTCGAACGAAGAACAGGAAGAGACCTTCCTCTCGGCAGTCGAACGCCGTGCCTCTCGGTGTTCACCCGCTCTCCGCGCCAGGACAAGGGTTTGGCCATTCGCGGCGATCAGCGACGTGGGGGTCTGGGCTGTGGGCTGTGGGCCGCAAAGGCAGAGGAAGTGCCTAGTAGCAAATAGCAATTAACAAAGGGTGCGTTTTCCTAGGAAGCAAGATTTGTTAGCGCATGATTGATGGCACCTTCTGTCCAGATTCACACTTTGTGAAGGTGTTGAAAAAGGCACCTTGGCCTGCCTGGGAAGTAGCCGAGAATGACTTTGGCTGTTGGTTTGGGCTGGGAGACGCATCACCTGGGCGGCTCGATTGCCGGTTCCCTGCTGTTCGTTTTGGAAAGTCATGTTCGTCGCGCAGTTGTTCTCTTGTTTTTCGTTGAGGTGCAGGCTTGCTGCCCAGCCCTCATTGTGGTGAGAGAATGACAGGATGGGTAGGTGTGTGTGTGTGTGTTTGTGTGTCTCTGTGTGTGTGTGTGTTTGTGTGTGTGTGTTACGTGGATGATAAGCTCGAGCTAGGAGGTTTGTATACTGCATGCCTTGTGCATGCCTTGTGGCAGGGTGATCATTGTATCGTAGTTGTAATGGAAGTGTTTTGGGGGTGTTCTATGATTCTATGTTCAGTTCCTTTACCGTCAGATACTGTATGTGAGTACTGAGTGGGGTCATCGTTTAAACGGTGTGAAGTGTTGCCGCATGATGCCGCCCAACTCCCTACTATTTTAGGCGCTTGCTGCGAGAAGAGTCCTGGCGCTTACGGGGCATCCCGCCACTTGACGCCAATCTGGGTGGATTGGGGCATGGTCATTTTGGCGCCAGTCCATGCGTGATCCTGCAACCTGACAACCCTCCAACTTGGCACAAAGCTCAACCACCCAAGAACCGATGGAAAAAAGGGAAACCGGTGAGGTTTTGGATTTGAAACAGTCCATTGCAGCCGTCACGATTCTTACTCCCATAATGCACAGGCGAAGTTCATGGGTGTGCCCAGGCAGGATCAGTGCGTGTTGGTTCGGCACGTAGGGCCCTTGCCTTCAGGTTGGACAAGATCGAGCACGAGACAATGGCACAAGACCTGCTCGATAAGGCTGCATTCAGATGTTCGATAGGCGTCATGTCAACCGAACTTTGCAGAAGATTGGACTGACATGGAATGACCCGTGTAAGCCTTGCAAGATGTAAATGAGGCAATGCTTGTGTTCCCCATCGTGGCCTCACTGCCCCCCCAGCATCCGCCACAGGTGGAGGCCCTTGAGGCTCAAGGCTTGGAGAGTTTGAGGGAGAAGAGCCGCCCGGGTGCCCTTTGTCGCTTGTCGTAGTCCGACATCGTGAGAAGGACAGGCCACGACGCATTGACGTTGAAGCGGATCATTGAGGTGTTGCATGGTGTGCAACCATCGGAGCCTGATAGGATTTGTCACAACAGTCGCTTTTCATAGGTTTGCTGATTTGGTATGACTTCCGTGTGGCTAATTTCATGAGCTACTTTGAGGGTTGGAGGCTTTGGCGCGTGGAAACCTTGTTATCAGCGGAGAGCGACACGATATTGTTTTTGTCCGGCAGTTCCTACTTTATATCAGGAACTTCTCACACCTGAAATAGAAAGTACCTTTTGGAGGCCTGGGGCGATTTTCTCTTCAGTCGCTGGTCCGAGGCTCCTTTCAGGTGCCCTTTCACGTGCTGGGAGACAAAGCAGACATGATCGCTTGCCTCACGGACCCTTGCCTCGGCAATGAACACTTTGTGCTGATGTTCACTTTGAATCTTCATTCTTAGACACATGTTTTACGCAGGATGAGCGGTAAGGTAGGCTTTTGAGGTTTTGAGTGCTGAGCAAGGTTGCTTTATTGACATGCAAGGAATCGTGAGGTCGTAAAGCCTCACAAACAACTGGCATTTCCAAGAGCTCATCTCAGTCCTTTTTGACCATTGCCTTTCGGAGGACTACCTGGTGTGGCAGCGCATGTCCACAGATCTTTTGCAGTCCGGGGCCTCATGTGATCACAGGGTGAAGTGAAGAAGCAATGAACTTACTCAACAAGCAAGTTTGGAACATTTTTGAACCCAGGAAGAAGAATCTGTTCCGCAGTGTTCAGTTGCTACCTACCGGTTTGGCCCCCATAGTAGGAAAACACTGTGGGGCGTTTGCATTCTGAAGCCTTGCGTTTCAAGGTCCGAGTGCAAAGAGCGCTTGGGATTGAAGGCAGAGGGAGAAGGCCTGTTGGTTTGTGGAGCGTGCTTCTGACACCAGAGTGGCCAAGCAAAGATTGGTCAGCAGAGTGCAGCAGCTAGCTCCTAGCTTAGACGGCCAGTAGTACTTTGATTTTCCTTGCTGCTATTACAGTCAGAGTGCCCTGTGGAACAACTGAGCTTCAGTCATGTTTGCAGATAGAGAGAGAGAGAGGGAGAGTTAGCACAGGATTGGCCAAGAAGTCGCACGAGGCTCTGGTAAGTGTCCTTAGAATGTTATCGTTGCAACTTTACTACTGCTGTGAATTTAAGTCCTCCAGGCTTTGTGCTGATGAGTTGCGTTATCAACAAGCTGCGCTCCTCATTTGGGTAAAACTTTAGGCAGCGTGACTGAGGTGCGAACACTGGTGGAGCATCGCTTGCTGCAAGCATGGCGCGATGCTGGACAAGCCACTTGGCTCAAAAGGAAGCACTTGAGGCTCGCAGTTCATCCGCAGATATTTGAGAGCAGGATGGCTCATGATTTGGCACGAGGATCCTTACTGGGCTCATGATTGGTTTGGGAGGGTGGAACTTATGCAGCCTGGCGCATGGACAATTACCTCCCATTTGGTATGGGTTTGGCGCTTGGGCATAGGGCTGTTCAAACCCAAATGTTTCGAGCATCAACTGATTGGGATGCATGAAGAAAGAGAGAGAGAGAGAGACAGAGCTTGCATGTTCTCACCATGTGGTGCTGCAGTTCCAATGCCCTCTACATCCCTTTGCCTTGCGTCACTCAACAGTAGGCCCTACTTCAGTAGGGAACGCAAACGATCACCTCATGGCACTGAGGACAAGAGGATCACCTCGTTCCAGGCCTAACCGAAGGAACGGCGATAAGACGTTCCAGACCACCCCAGTGGCTATCCGTGGTTTCGAGGGCTTCGGTCACCGTGCAGGTCACCCCGCTTTTGGTCACAAACCTTTGTTCCAAGGGCTAAGATTCCAAGCAGCATAGGCAGCTGGGAGGGCAACGCTTCAGTTCTTGGCAAGAACAAGATCTACCTGGTTGTCGCCATGAGAAGCCAGCGACAACCACTCGGCACCCGAATAGGCGGTGGAGCGGATTCTGAAGGAAGTTCGTGAAGACCTCAGCATCGGGTGGTGGATTTGAGCATTTGATATTTCAAGATCTTGCAAGTACATTGATTGACGATGTGACGCTACTCGGATGCCAATGTTTGTTTGGATCTCCTGCATCTTTGCAGCTCCTTGATATGTCACGTGTTTGGAGGTCGGTTGGAGCTGCTGAATTTGGCGGATTTGCAGAGGCATTTCAGATCACGAGGTGGAGTTGGATCGATTTTCCGGGGCGGTGCAGGGGTTGATTCATTCCAAGGGAATGTCCGCCTCAAGTGTTAGGGACAAACTGTCTTGTGGTGTTGCGTGTCCTTCAGAGATCCCCAGAGCCACATTAGTTAGTTCACGCTGCTGATGAGGTCAATGTGTGGCTGGCTTTGGTGAGGCGACCAACTCCATGCCATGGTGTTTTTGTCCGCAACTGTTGGCCCACATCACTGCGACCAGCATAGCCAAGACATATAGACATGAAGGCAGCCAAGCTCAAGAGTCACCCAAGAGGCAGTTGAGTTAGAAGAAATCATATGCAAGAGCTGTAAGAAGTGTGTAAGGCAGTGTAAGAAGTGAAGCTTCTCAACTTGCCATGAGTCCTGGTCTAAACATGTTTCAACAGCCCAGCCAGCCATTGTTGAATGGTTCGTCCTTTGAATGGGTTCGATTGTTGGGGCAGAAAATGGGGTGCCTCCGAACACGCTGGAAGAGAGACATGAAGAGACGAACTAAAGTAGCATCGTTTGTTTGTCCCTCCTGCTCCCAGCCATGGCGTGGGATTTTAACCTTGACTTCAGTCAGCCACGGAAGGCTGGACGAACCTTGGAGTGATTACACATACCCAGCTCGTTGCACATAATGCGCACCTAGGATTAACCAACTCCCCCTATTCTCTTGCCCAGCTGGAGCCTCTACACTAACTAGAACCCTGCAACCTCCCCCTGATAATTTTTGTTCCTTGCCAGAAACCCTCCTATTTAATCAAGCCCAGCTCCCACAGACAAAAAATATAATTGTTGTTCTATTCATTTATTATTAATTACCTTTTTTGTATTCAATATCTTTTGGTCCATGGTGAAACTGATCTCTGATCAAACTTGTGCCCATACACTCAGACCCTTCATGGTTCTCATGGCTCAAACTCTCATGATTCACACACCATCCCATCACCCATCACCCATCATTTGGTCCAGGTCCTCATCTCATCATCCATCATCAGGTCATCATCTTTACTACTGTAAGGGGATGTGGTCTCCAAAACCATCAATCTCAAACCTTGTTGACCTTGTTGACCTTGAAGGGGGGGGTTTATTAATCCTACGTGCGCATTACTGTAGAAGAGTTTGAAGGAAAATGAAACGACTCCTTGGCTCTTTCAACGTTTTCAAAGTGAACAAATTGTCAGATGGAAGGGAAACTTTTGGGGCTGTGCCCCATTCTAGGCTTGCATGCCGTGCTGTGCACCGTGCCAGGGCCCTGCCACCCCTGCCTTCAGTGGAGACTGGCGAGGGGGCACGGCCTTACATCAGGCACCGCAGGTCGAGAAGAAAGGCGCCAAGGAACGTCAGAGAGGCCCTGTGGTGGAAAACGACTCTGATGAGGAGGCCTGGTGATGGAAGATTTGCGCACTCTACCAGAGCTGGTACTGTCGAGTCATGCAATACATGAGTGCGCACGAGGACCAGCAAAAGCACCAGACGTGCATGACTTTGGATGACTGTGGTGGTAGTGGGCATACATGTTCTTTGGGCTGGTGCACATGCGGCAGGCCTTGCCAGCAGAGGTGTCCGAGAAGCCTCAGGCCGCAGCTACATGTTGGAACTAGGAGTAGGTGAACAACCCACCGAGACAGTGCGAACACTGAACAAAGTTGCTTGGTTGGGGTTCTCCCATTTTAACAAAACCCCATATGCACCATGGATATATAAACGCGGAGATTGTTGAGAGATGTTTGTAGGGCACAGTTTGCATGTGAAGGAAGTGAACTCAGACCCGCAGAGAGGTTCAGCTGATATGGGATGCTGCGAAAGGCCAACTTGTCCCATCCAAAGAAGGCGCGCCACCGTGATCGCGGCGTCTAGCGATTTGATACCAGACTTTGGAGCTTTGCAACGAGAGCTTGCTCAGATATTGGCCGTGTGACAGCCAACATAGCCGGCACATACTGAGGCATGCTTGTTTTTGTTTGCTGCAAGCAGCCTGTACTCACGCTGTGTGAGTCTTCAGGAGAGCCTGCAGATATACCAAAAGAGGACGGCACCAAGGTGGATGAGAAGGACCCCAGCGATCAAATGTAAACATGCCATTCATATCCATTCATAACTATATACTATATATATAGAGATATACTTGTAGTGGAGAGTCACTTTACGGTAGTATAGGCACTGTATATATAATATGTAATTCAGGCATGCATTGTAGAGTTCTAGAGGAAATTTGTGCGAATGGAATGCCAATGGCTTCTTGTGCTGGCAGTACGATACGAGTCATGAACTCATGTTTTCCGAGTCATGTTTGGCCAGCACCCCGATGACCACTTTGCAAAGATGTTGTTTGGGAGACTTGTGTGCACTGCGATTTTGGCTTGCAAAATAGGCACCTGCGGAAGAAGCCAACGAAGGAGACGCTGAAAGCAGCTGAACATGCATTGCATTCATCATGTTTGCACGTTGATGTCCCGAACGGTTTGGAAGTGTGTTGGGCAAGATTCCGGTCTTCAGGTGAAGAGGAGGAAGAGGCTGATGCGGATGATGAGGTCAATGTAGAGGTGTGGCTAGGGTCCACTACTGGTAACGACAAATGTTTGAAAACCTGCTCTTAAGAGACTGGGCTGAGGAGTTTGCAGATACGAAAGCTAAGGAACTGCCTTCCAAATCTTCCAATAGGTATTGAATGTATTTGATGGTATTTGACTTTTCTTGATCTACCTGTCCCACCAGTGTGTTTCATGTGCGAGCCCAAATTTACATTCCCCTGCAGATATATAGTACCCTGGCATTCGTCGGCAGTATCCTCCCACTCGTCAACGTAGAAGTGGAAAATGACGGAAAAAATGACGGAAAGACAGACCTTTGTGTTCGAAAGGTGGGACAAGAACACCGGGTGGGTAGGATGCTTACGTAGAAGATCAACTTGACTTTGGCCCGGCACAGGCAGAGTCCCGGAACGCCTTTCTGGCGGAGGCTTCGACCCCTGAGCTCATCAAGCAGGCCGTAGCGGTGCGAAAGCCCAGTGGTAATCCGGTACGATGGGGTGGACAGTGGGTGGTCGAATCTGTCCAGCCAAGCAATGGCCTCCAACCAAATGTAGCAAAAGGAACCTAATAGATCTATATAATAGGAATGGCCTCCAACCTACTAGCGATGGCCTCCAAGCTAGAAGCAATGGCAACATATATATGCCCGAGATTTTGCTCGTTGGAAGATCTAGGTATAAACGCAGCACTGGCGATGTTCTTCCTTCGAATGGCACGGCCTTCGCACTATCGGACTGCGAGACCTTGGCGTTGAGGTCAGTGGGCCCTTAGCAGACTCTACCAAGGACAAGTGGGTTGCTTGGCGTTCAGAACTTTTTGCACACAGGTACCGTCGATTTCGAATGGATAGTTTTCTTGAGAATGACGCTTGTGCGAAAGGACCAGGTTTTGTGACAGGCGCTGGTCTTGATGTCCCAAGGTTTTAGATCAGGCCACACAGCTGTACTTCAAGTACGACTCTGCAAGTCAGAAGATGCCTGGCAATGTCACAGTGTTGGTTCTTTGAACCTGTAGCAGCGACTGACCAATGTTTTCTGTGGTATACTGCGGCAATGAATCGTTTGCCCGTCATTGCGTTTGCATTTGCAGTTAATCAGGAGTCAAGGATGCCACAGAGAGTCAGCGATATGGAAAAAGCTCAATCAGACAGCTTGTGAGCAGCCCCACTGAGGATGTATTGCTGGAATACCTCCCAAGGCTTTTGCGCGGCAGCAAGATCAGTGAATCCAAAACCTTCATTCTTGATCACAGTATGTAGAGCCGGACGTTCAAGGCTCTAGCGGGAGTTGCAGGATGCGACAGAATCGCAAGATTATCGTTTAAAAACAGACGCTACTAGGGGCTCCTGGCCTTACTAATGGTTTTGCCTTATTCCACTGTGTGCCTCGTGTGTTTTTAACAATGGCACGGGTTGAAATGTGATAGCACGTTGGACCCAACAGCATTGACAAAACGGGTGTCCTGTTTGGACACCAATCGTCTTGAAGAGGTTTGAAGAGGTTTTGGACACTGCATGACACTCCTTTGCAGGTTGCATGTATCACTGGAAAGAGCGTGGGAAGATGACCTTCCTTTGGGCGACTCCGGCTGGCGCCGGCACGGCGCCCCCGTCCCAGATGCCCAACATGCCCAGCGGCCCCAGCGAAAGCACAGAGGCTGAGAGAAGAGTTCATCAGGGTGGGAACTGTCAGAAGAGTTCATCGGCATCGATGGCGTTCATGGTTTTCTTTGCCGATTCAACAGCGTTAATTCGTTGCTTGCACTGTGAAGCGAGATATGTTGGAGCCTTTTGCGCAGCCTTGCCCGGTTATTTTAGTTGGGACAAGGTAGAAGCAAGAAAGCACCAAGCGCGACACCACGGGGAACCCCTGTGACTGGCTGTGAGGCAAAAGACCTGGCAAAAGCTACAGCTTCAGTACAGAAGACTGAGGGCAGCTCCGATGGCATCATTTCCTGCTGTGTTCCTGCTACAGATCTTTTGGTCCCTTCATGTCCGTTCCGGGTTCGTTCAATGCCGTTTGGATTCGAGACGCGCCTAAAATTGAAATTGGATTTACAAGTTGCGTTACTCAGGCGATGCGGCACTTTGGGTGACCATGATCCCCCCGCAAGTGCTGACGGCAGATTTTGAAGATGCCAATGCGCAGGTGGCATGTTTTGCGCACAAATTGGCGAAGTCACATGCATTGAATCGTAGCTGCTTCCTTTGTGGGAGAAGGGGACGGAGCAGGAATGTAACTACATGCATGCAGATATGGTGAGGACTCAGCCAAATGAGTCACGAAGAAGTGGCGAAGAACATGTATAAGTAGCGCAGGCCACGTCAATGAAGGACCCAAATTGGTTAGTAGGATGCTCGCATTGTTGTGCGCTTGATTTATCAACAACTGAGGTGTTGTTCTTTATTGCCGGCCACACATACAGAACAAAGGCTGTTTTTAATATTGTTTTTTGCCAGCGGCGCTATCTTGCCAGGCGGAGGAGGAGCTTGAGCTCAATGCAAAGGCCATGGGCGCAGTCATCGGCAAAGGAGGAAAAGGCGCGGGACCGGGCTGGTGACCTGTGCGATCAAAGGGCACACGGCATGTGATCTTTCTGTTGACCACAGGAGGAGGAGGTGACCATGTATATCCTATCCATGCAGCATGCATATATATATATATTGTGTTAAGGAACTATGTTTGCTTCATCACTTTGATTTCAAGCAATCTTGCCTTTTTTCTTGGCATGCATTGTCCTGCCAGCTCATTTCAGGAATCAAGGAGATCGAGCAAGCCACAGGTGGCTTGCCTCAGTAAGACTTGCAAAGACTGGCCTCTTAGGGAGCTATTCCAGAAAAGTATTGCTACTTCTAAGACTTGCAAGCTTCAAAAGCATCCAACAGACGCGCTAAGGTGTGAAGTCTACCACCTTAAATGCCAGGCTGGGGTTGACCCGCTTGGGAGGTTTTCTTGTTGCATGCTGCAAGTCCTTGTGCAGTTTTGTACAATCCTTTGAATCCTTCTCCGCATTTCGCAGTTGGGTTAGAAGCAGCAATTTCACAATATCCACCGCTGCTCCCTTTTGAGTTTGTGGCATCCTTCACTATATCAACCCCTTGGGTTTGGTTAGTTTCTATATGTCAAATTCAGCCAATGTTGCGCGCAGGGAAGATGCTCAGGGCCAGCGGCGCCTGCTCCTGCAAGGCACCAAAACGCAGATCCTGGCGGCGAAGAGCGCCGTGGAGCAGCGCATAGTGATGGTCCTGGGTTTGAAGATGGCAGAGAAGGCCGCGGAATTTTTGGTGCTGCACCGGTTGGCTTACTAGCAACTATTATGCAACTATAAGACAAATGTTGCGCGAGACAGTGAGGTGAGGGAAGGAATCTGTTGGTTGCAGCTACTAATTGCTGTACATAAATATGTTCAAAACAAATGGTTTTCTAGTGAGTGCCCGAGGGAAGCTCAGTCCAGATGAGGGGGCATTCTGGAAATGTAGACATGCAAACAAGTTTGACGCCTTCATGCGAGGCTGACACAGTCCTCCCGTAATGTTGCCTTTGTGAGGTGCAGAAGCACTGGAGCCAGCAACTCCTAGAGAAGAAACGCAGCTTGCTTCTCAAGAGTTGGCCTCTCCCTTTTTGTGGCTGGTGTTCTTGAAGTTTTTTGCACTGCTTGTTTGAATAGATCAGCTCTAGTGGCATGCGGATGGCGAGTCAATGACAATGGCTGAATCACCTGAAGAACTATGTGCCACCAGCTTGGGCTTTCTGTACCAAGGGAAATGCCTCATGCGGATCCAAGTTGCCCCAAAGTCAATCCTTAGTTTCAGGATGTTCCAGGTGTTTTTCCAGATGTCCTCCGACACACGAACGGAGAATTCATGAAGATAGACATGGACATGGACAAGATAGAAGCTACTAGAACAGGGACAGATTGCTACTACTAGTAGCAAGGACGCTACGAACGTAGCTCCTAGCACTACTACCAATAAGAAGAAGCTACTAGTAACAAAGAGCATCCCTGCTAGGAGCAAGGATGCTACTAGGGGCTCCTGGCATCGCTACTAGGAGCAAGGACGCTACTAGGGGCTCCTAGCATCGCTACTGGGAGCAAGAACGCTACTACGTGCTCCTGGCCTTACTACTACTAGTAGTAAGAAGCTACTAGTAACAAGGACCAGATAGACCAGAGCTTCCTGCTGAGACTGTGAACGATGACGTGGCGCCCCAGGCACCGAGACCGGCTCCGAGGCCGCCAAGAGCGGCGTGCGTGGTCTCAGCGACTTCGCGTGCCTTGGATGCCTTGGACGGCCAAGCAAAAAGAGCAGAATGGCGATCATATTGAGAATGCCAGCACAAAAAGAAAACATGTATGATGTGACGCTTTTCAAGTCTATTGATGCTTCCTTTGGTCTCAGGTTGGAGCATGGCCTCAAGGCGGTGATGGCAAGAAAGCTGGCGAAGTTGGATGCACAGCTCCAACGTTCCCTGGCTCATCCTGGCTTTGCCAGAAATGACGAGGGTGGCAGGTCCGGAATGGATGCACTTTTGACCCTCTGTACGTCACATTGATGATGGAGTCCGGGATAGAAATCACATGAAATCAAAAGATGTGGCATGAAGTTGTGGCTCACTGTGTGTCGTGCATCCCAGGCTACCTGATTCGTCACTTCAAGCCCATGAGCCTCTCCTGCAATCACGACCTGACCCATGAATTCGTCAGTCCCAAGACACTTCCCGGTTCGGAGAGATTTCAGATTCCACGACTTGGCATGTCTCACTTTCAACATGTTTTTGCTTGAGTGTTTGACTAAGGAAAGCCAAACCGGCCAATGCCTTAAGAGGACGTCGTGCGTGACAATACCCCTGGAGAGACGTGATCAAAAATATCAAAAAAGCGATGTGCTGTCATCCGAATCAGTTTTGAGGCCCCAGGTTTGACCGAAACGATATCGAATTCATCTCACAAAAGTCCACCTGTTTTGGGAGTCTGTGGGCTTAGCACTTGAAGCGACAAAGACAAGAGATCTAAGAGATTTGCAACGAGAAAAGTAATGACTTAAAAGTAATGACGAGTACTGTAGGGGATGTATGAAATGCCGTTTGTATCACGTACCTCAGCTCCTTGGAAACGGCCTCACCTGAGAAGAGATCCAGGATACATGGCCCAGCTCTTTAAGTTCCCCCAGCGCTGGAGATTGGAAGCGCTCTACGAAGATGGACACTTGGGACGAACGACCCCGAGGACGATCGAATAGATGGACCAAAGGGATCCGAAGGGCCAGATGGAGCACCATGTTGCTCAAAGTTAAAATTCATTGCATCAGTGTTGATGTTTTTTGGGGAGCTTGCATGCATACTGCGTCATTTCTTCAGGCGATGCACTGAGACTTGTGTGAAAGACCTGGATCACCAAGCATACCTTGCACGACTAGCAAAAATTTGACACGTTGCTCGCTTTTGGTCGCTGGAAGTCTGCCAGGCATCATCAGCATTCATCCGCCCCCGCTTTCCCTAAAAATCTACTAGTAGGAACCAAATCATTTGTGCAAGCATTTCTTCAGCCCTCAGGCGGGGAGCTTCAGGCGTGAGCTATCCTGCGTCCTACCTAAAAGCTAACTAGTCGATACTAGTCGCCCTTACTGACTTAATCAAGTCATCGCCTACTTAATCCTGGTAGGAGCGGGCCTTTTAAAGATTCAGTGAATCGGCGTCTCAACGAGGCGAATTGGACGGCGAGATTTGCGAGACGATCCCCCTGCGGAGCAGCGCGGTGATTGGCCGTGCTCCGGAGGAGGGCGAGGAGCAGGTCATCGAGGCGGAGGTGAACATGGCCTTAGGCGCGTAGCTGTGCAATGAAGTCGGTATAGGGCCATTTAGGGCCAGTAGGGAAAGATCGTTTGTTAGTGTTTGTTAGATTGGTTGAGATGATTGATTGTTGGGACCCGAGTTTGTTTCATTCAGTGAGGATTGTATCCAGAGTTATTTGAGTATGTGCTGCTGAAAGACCTGCGAGTACTTAACGTGATCATCCGTCCCTGTGTGGTGACAGGCTGCAAATATGTTTGAAAATTGACAACATACACCAAGCACATGAATCAAGCATGTTCTGAATCTACTGTACGTGGTCTACAGATTTCTTATGATTTCTTGCTGATGATTCCGCACATGTCCCGCTTCGGTCAACCTGAGATGTCCCGCGGAAGCGGTGTTTGGCTCGAGGCCCCAAAGAAGCATCCAAGCTATACGGTGACGTACAGGACCAAAGTATGTTTGGATATGTTTGCATGTCGGGGAATGGAAGATCTAGCCCACATTTTGCATGGTGTTCAGCAGCTGGACGGCGAGGCTGAATAAAATAGAGCTTGCACAAGTGCAGCGAAGACACTGCGACGTTTTGCCAGTTTGGAAAAGCCTACGTCCTACATGTAGAGTAAGATCATTACGAGTTGTGCGTAGTGCAGTCACATCTAGAACCCAGGAAAGATTGCGTGTTGATTTATGATGATTCATGATTCATGTGCTAAGAACATGTTGTTTAGCCAGCAAGCAGTGTACATGCAAGAGCGTTGTTGTTTGTAGACCTTCTTGATTCGATTTCACAGAAGGATTGCAGACGAAGGGCCCAAGGACCAAGTGGACAGGGTCGTGTGGGCCAGGACCAGCACTGCAAGCTACACCGCATGGGCAATGACTTTTACGTCATGGCATTGGAGTCCCAAATCGGGACGCTGGTAGATGGCCAGCGATTTGGCCAGCAATTTGGAGGTCTTTGGAGTCGAAGAAAACAGTCGGGGGTTGAAGAGAGCATTTCCCCCCTGTGACGAGCGTTTGCACGGCTCCTATTTACATCAAATAGAGGGAGATCCGTGACACATCATTCATTGTAGCTGGAGTTGAGGAAGATCCGACATACTGATGGTCCGGTCGCTCTTCGAGATGGAACTACACTTGGAGTTGGGCACCTTGGAAGCAGTGACTCACCAAGGGAGGGCCTGCTCGGACTCTTCAATGGTTTGCAACGGGTTTGGGCGCAGTGGATCCGAAAGTAATTACAGTAAGACTTGAATTAAGTTTGAGGTTTGGCTAGCAAGTTGAAGAGCTTGCGAAGGTAAGGTAAGTCGTCCAAAGCACTTTTCGTTCCTAGGAGCCAACACTACACGAGCTCAGTTGTTATTTTTGCACACAAAGTTCTTGTCGGATATGTAGAGCTTTTGCCTAGGGTGCAGCAAATGCACAGCCATGCCCAGCCCAATCGCCAGGAAGTACCTCTTCTACTGCGAGGTCGGCAGCGAGACCTTTCTTCAAGAGCGTCGAAAGAAGCTGCTGGCTGGTGAAAGGCCTGACTGGGCCGGCCGATGGGGTCATTCGTTGGGCACCGTCTTGGCTGATTTTACGGTGTTGAACGGTCCATGAATTCAACGTCCTTCTATTGACTTGTCGCCATATCGCTTTGCCAAAGTTGTTTTCCACCAATGCTAGGTTGCTAATTGACTGTTTCAAGGCGGCTTTATGTAACATTATGTGTTAAAATCATCCTTTACATCAGCTTTCAATCCTTTCAATCAGCTTTAAAGATTGAAGCCATTCTCCCACCACGCCGAGGTTCTGGAAGGAAGGTTCTGCCAGTCTGCAACAAGCTGAGTCCGAAGCTCGACAGGCGGAGGCGAGGCGAGTCCGGATCCGGAAGGTACGAAATGGTGGAAGCTGAAGGCTGAAGGTGTCACAATCAGCTGAAGAACCGGTGTCACATCTATAAAGCCACCCGCCACCATGAACTCAGCTCTTGTAGTATTTGGCAGCCCCTCATTCGATATATGGAGAGATGTTGGTCTGAGCAAATCAAGTGCGAGGATTTGTGTTTCACCAACAGATCTCCACAGTTCAGCCCTTTGGAAATGATGAAACTCCAGACTGAGCGCCAGAAAAATAACTCTTTTCAATCTTGGCAACCGGAAGGCCAAGAAAGCATCATCCGATGTGGAGGAGGACCGCAGGGACCGCTGACTGATTGAAGGATGGCAGGTTGGCAGGTTTTGTTGACTTACGTCAGGCCATGGGAATGATTTGAGCGCATTTTGACTTGAAGGGACGCAATTGGGGCCATTGTAGCCAATTTGGGGTCTTGTGCGTTCGACCGAAGGTATATATCCGACCCCTCCCATTCTTTTGAAGATGCCCAAGCCATGCTCAATCATTTTCACCCTGTCAACTGCAGAGAACTTTGGGATGCTTCAGTTTCAGCTGACCAGGCAGATGCCCCAGAAGCAGAAGGCGCCGGGCGACCGTGTTGGCACATGGTCAGTGGCTCCTTGGTAGGCTCAATCGCATGTGCTCGTAATGTGGTGATCTTCTCCTGTGGCTGTCAAGGTGCAGGCATCGGGAAAGGGCATGTTTAATGTGCAGCTGAGACTGTAGCACCGAAAATCAGAGATGGTTTCGAAATCAGAAACTGTAAGCTGACATTTGGGGGCACAATATCCTCGCCCCCTCCCCGATACTGTGGAATGTGGTAAGTCCACCCCTGCTTCTTTTCGTGTTTGGGGATTGTCTCCAAACTTGAGCGGGAGGGAATCTACAGGGTGCCAAAGCCAATTCTGATGTGAAATCTCACACGCCATTGTCAAGTTGTCAAGTGAGAATAACAAATAGAAAGGAAAAATCTAGAGTCTAGTGAACTTAAGTGGGTAATTTAGCAATTATACAGATTACAGATGGCAATAATTTGTCATCTCCAATGTTCCACTTCAGTGGTAATTTGATTATTGGAGCCATTCAGAGGGCACAGTGCTGGCCATCAGTCCGGCCATCTTAAACGTACTTTTGACCTTCACTACAACTCTAACTAAGAAACAATAAAAAAGGACCGTCGGACTGAACATGCCCACTCTTTAAGAATGGCGCTTGGGTAGCATTGTGTGGCAAGATTTGGTACATTTGGTTGATTGAGTTGCTAACATTGTCTTGTCGAGCGACCCGGCGGCACACCCATCAGTCCGCCAGATGAAGACGAGGATGAGGAGGCCCTGGATGTGCTCTTCACCGATGGATCGGCTCAGGTCGGCGGTGTTGTGCTGCGTGGAGTGATCGCTTGACAACGCTAGTGATGGAACGTCCGAACATGCTGTCCTCACGGACTAAAATGTGTACTTCTGCGGCATGCGCGTGAGCAAGTTGAGCCTGGTCGCAGGAAAATGAGGAGCTTGTGGACAAGAGCCTGCAGAATGAGGAGACTAAGAAAAGAGCCCTGGACAAGCATTTCATGCCAACAACAGCAATCTAATTCCCCAGCCTCAAGCAGGGGAGCTCCACATCCTACAGAATCAAAAGGTGCTTTGCAAAGCATGAAAAAGTTTGAATTCATCCGTCGTAGAATCAATTCACCAGATGCTCGTTACTTGGCCTTTGTATCTCCAACTAATGCTTCCTTTGGGGAGGGCAGCTCTAATTACCAGATTTGGAGCCGACACATTAGGTACATGACACATTGAAGTGAATTTAATGAAGTCTCAAGGGTCTTTGGATGTCTTTGGTTTGGTTTCACATGTTTGCAGCTCCGGATTTTAGCAGCTCCGCAATGCTCCGCTAATTACTGTATATAATGCTCCGCAGGAGCAGCTTGATGCCGCCGAGCGAAAAAGGGAGGCTGAGGATGCTGAGGACTTGGGGATATGCCATATTAATCGGCCCGTATGTTAAAACGAGTCGTCGCCGGTATGTCTTCGATGCAGTACATCTCGGCTCACAGCTTTGGATGTCAAGGCTGACTCACGAGCCGGGCAAGTGCTCTTGCGATTGCTGCCAGGCCTTTGAGAAAGTCTTTGTGGTTCTCTTTGGTCCAGGCAGTTCTCCAGGTCTTCGAGAGGGTGCCACGCGGATTCTCGAGGGCACCTACATCCGCCTTCTTGAACTTTCCCATCGACTTCATCAAGGCGGTGGGTCAGACGCTCCTGGGGCCTCGGGAGCGGGCACGGGGGAGAGATCCCCTGGTGGAGGAGCTGCTTCTCTAGAGAGGAGTGGCTCAGCAGCAGAGACAGCGCCCGGAGGCTCAACTGTCCCTGCAACAGGCTCAGTCCCTGTGGAGGAGGAGGCGATTGAGGAGTTGCCCAAAGAGAAAAAGCGACAGAGAGCGAAGAAGGAGGCGGAGAAAGGAAGAGGAAGTCCCTCAGGAAGTGAAACAAGAGGAGGAGCAGGAAACGGAAGTTGAACCCTTGGTTGAAGCGTGGGTGGAAGAGCGAAGTCCTTTGCCAAGGTCCCCGCAGAAGAAGACAGCAGATCGACGAGATCCTTTGCCACGGAATCGAGTTGAAAGCCGGCCTGCATCGAGCCGGAAGAAGTATCCAGGACCCTCAACGGCTCCAGAGCACACTCGGGGTCGAAGGAAAGAGAGGAGTGAGCGAGACAGGGCCCGTGGCGACAAGACTCCAGACCGAGGAGAACGTGATCAAGCCAGGAAGTCGAAGAGTTTGAACCTGGCTTCAAAGAGTAAGCCCCAACCGGAGAGAAGGGATCGAAGCCGATCAGGGAACCAGAATCCAGGAGGCGCCGCCAGAGGTAGCCGCCCTAGCCCTGAACCAGAGGTTGACCTACTCCTACTATCTATCCTCCTCTTCGTCGCCGTTCAGGGAATTGGATTGGTCCTATTCCGGCCTTCAAGAACAGAAAGAAAACAAAGAACAAGGGCAAGAAACATACCCTCCGAAACGAGGTGTACTGGGAGGACCGACGACGGGGCATTTTTTGGCCGTAGGCGATGAGACGATTGGCCAGGCCAGCAGCCGCTCCGAAGACAAGGAGAAGACCAGCAGCTCACGAGGAGGTAGAAGACGGGGGGAGACCCCTGGGAGGAGAATGGCAAAAAGTGGAGGAGCTCACCCTGGAGGGGATTGCGGGGTGGAAGATATTACAAGCAAAGGGAGCCTATTGGGAGGAAGATGCGGAGATAGCTGGCAACTTGATCGAGATGCGATTCGCGGGAGGTCAACGCGAAGTGGTTGTCAGGGTTACAGGCACCAACAACGAAGCGGTGTTGAGAGCCATGTCAAGCAGATCCAAAGAGGGAGATGGTATTGCACCTGTGTCCCAATCCACGCCCAGTCAAAGCGTGGCCAGACAACCTCATGCACACCACGGAGATCAAGGAAGTGGAGTTGGACTCAATAGCCTCCTGGGACATCGGGAGGAGACTCCAGGTGGGGACGACGAGTTGAGCCGGAGTCGGAGGAGATGAGATCGAGGAAAAGGCCGTGGAGGAGCGGCAACAGGTGGCGAGGTGGCAGCCCCTCCTGGAGGAACGGGAGAGGCCTTAGAAGAAGCAAGAGGATCAGGGTGGAAGGCGCCAAGGAGTTGAGCTTGATCTATGGCAAGACTGGTCTCGACCCAGATCCAGAGGTGAGGAAGAAGATTCGGAAGCGAGCCAGGAGGATTACAGAGAAGGCAGAAACAAGAAGCGCTCCTCCTCCTCGGACAGCGAGGAATCCAGCAGCAGCAGCAGCAGTGGAGCCAGTTTGGAGGGCGATCAGGAATTGTTCGAAGCTCCAATGCCGGCGCAACAGGTTTGGAAAAGTACCCTGGCAGCCTTACGAGTGCAATGGTTGCGGAGGCTCGGCAAAGCCTCTTGGTTCAGTTGGGAGGCCATGCACAGAGCAGCTCTTCGAATGTACCGCCCCTGATGGCTCAATATGCGTGTCAGGTTTTGACATCAGGGATGCAAGGCCCGCTGGTGAGAGAGACCATCCATTGGTCGATATTGCTCCTCCTGGCAGGCAAGATCGCCAGCGCCGCGGATCTCGCGTGCCAAAGGCTAAAAACACTAGAGGCAGCGTGCAGGGGCGTGAAGCCCGAGGTACTTCGAGCAATGGAGCTTGTCCCTCCGGAAAAGGCCTCACTCTCCTCCACAGGAGAGCTGTGGCGCGTTGGGTGCCACGCAAGCGAAGAGTCAAAGGTCTTCAATCGCGTGGGCGGAAGAGACTCCGAGAAGGGCAAGTTCAAAGGCAAGGAGAAGGACCGCGATCGAGGGGACAAAGGAAAAGACAAAGGCAAAGGAAAGAAAGACAGAAAGGAGGACAGCAAGAAGTAGAGCAGAGAAGAGGAAGAGATGGGTGCTCGGGAGAGCCTCCTCGTGGCAGGGAGGCCCTCCTGGAAGAGGAGAATGGATGCATGAAGATTCAGCAAGAGAAGATTGGCGAAGACACTGCTGGAGCGAGTTTACAGGCTTCTATGGCAGGACCTTGCCCTTCAACTGCTGATGTATTTTTGGTCCCTCCTGGCCAAAGGGAGGTTGACGAGTATGTGAAAGATTTCACCATGGCGAAAACCTACTCCTGGGCGACGGCCTATGTTCAGAACGAGAATTTGATGCGCTCTACCTCGATCAGGGCAGAACGAACTATGAGGAATGGTATCTTCCCCCTGATCAGCTCATCGAAACGCAATGTGGGAGGTGTCGGAATCGCACGTTTCTTTTCATGAGTTTTTTGCAAGAAGAATATAGACTATACAGGTGATGAAGTGAAATTTGCACAGAAATTGCATTGGCCCGCGATCCCCGAGGGGGTAGCCTCTCTTGAACTTGAGCTGGAACGTTTTGCAAACTTGGTACAAAGGCATATGTGGAAGATTTTGACAAGTACCTTTTGCCCGAAGAAAGCTGGGTATATATACCAAGCCACCCAGAGTCATGATCGAGGAAGACCACTGGCCAGAAGTATGCAAGGGACTTATTTCAAAAGGAGTATGTGAAGTATTCCCCAATGAGGCCCTCTGTAAGGTTGGTGGTAAACCACTCCTCAACGGCATGTTCGCTGTGGGAAAGGGCGAGTTCAAAGACGGACTGGAGACACAACGACTGATCATGAATCTCATTCCGGTCCATCACCTCTGTCGGCCCCTAGAGGGAGATGTAGGCACTCCCTGGTGCGTCGGGGTTGAGTGCCTATCTCCTTGAAGGAGGTGAGGTAGCCCTACTGAGCAGCGAAGATATCCGGTGTTTCTTTTACTTGTTCAAGGTGCCTGCTGCGTGGAAGAGATACCTGGGTTTCAACAAGGCCGTGCCTCGTGACTTGGTTCCCCCTTCGTTGAAGGGACAGGATTGCGTCTTGGTTTCTAGAGTTCTTCCTATGGGCTTTGTCAACAGTGTTTCTATTGCTCAACACGTCCACCGGAATGTGGTACGGTGGAGTGGAATGGCTGGCACCCCGAACAGCAGTGAAATACGAAAGGACAGACCCATGTCAACGGCGGATACATTGTATAGAATCTACCTGGACAACTTTGACCTCCTGGAGCGGGTGGATAGTGAACTGGCTCAGACGGTGGCTCGTACGGTTTCTCCACAGGCAGAGACTTTGCGCGCACAGTTGACGGAACTGGGTTTGCCTCGACACCCCAAGAAAGCCGCGGAGCGAGTTGTCGTTGGGGAACTGCAGGGCTCTCGTTTTGATGGCCTTGCGGGGTTTGCAGCTCCGAAACCTGAGAAAGTGGTGCTGTACAACAAACTGGCTTTTGAGCTTATACGGCGAGGGCAGTCCACCTTGCGTGAGCTGCAGGTTGTGTGCGGGGGCTATGTATACCTTTGCATGTTGCGCCGTGCGCTTCTCTGCGGTCTCAACGAGGTCTTCGAGCACATGAAGGCTTTTGAGCATGAGGCGCCAGTTGTGCGGTTGAAGCTTCCCAAGAAGGTCAAGGTTGAGCTCGCCAGGTTCATTTTGTTGTCACCCCTAGCTCAGATGGATTTTCGGGTTCCCGTTGACGGCCAAGTCACATGCTCAGACGCCTCTTGTGAGGGAGGCGGCCTATGTGCATCGCAGAGTCTCACGCAGTACGGTGTCAGCGCACTAAATTCTCAGGAACGAGGTGATGTTGCGGATGAGGAGGACATGATCCAAGCTCTTAGTGTAGGACTCTTGGATGGTATTGGCGCCCTACGGGTTGCGTGTGACATGGCAGGCTTGCCCATGGCAGGGCATATCAGCATTGAGAAAGATGCAAAAGCACAGCGAGTTGTTGAAAGCCATTTCCCTGAGACCATTTTCTTTGACGACATTGTGGATTTCTTGCGACAACAGGTGGAAGAATTGCCGTTGAAGTTCAGCAATGTAGGGTTGATTTTGATTGGCGCTGGCCCGCCCCTGCCAAGGGGTTAGCGGCCTCAACGCGGATCGCCGTGGCGCGCTCAAAGATCCTCGAAGTTGTCTGTTTACTTGGTGGTTCTCACGACACGGGTCGCTTGATAAGTTGATGGTAGCTGGACGCTGGCAGGCAGTCAAAACTCGCAAAACTCGCAAAACTGCTAGGGTGTACATCAATGAGGGCCTAGCTGTACTAGCTGACCTCAAATTGCTGATGAAAGATATTGTGCCATTTTCCAAAGCGTTTCACTCTTTTAAGCCCGAGATGCACTTGAACTCACGATTGCGTAAGTAAAAAAGGGGGACGTGGATACAGAGCTGGAGTGAGGTTCTTTTTTCGATTTTCCACTAACTATTCAGGTGCCCGAGCCTGGTGCCTACGGCTTGGCGGTGGCACCA